CGAATGTGATTTCTAAAAATACATTTCATATTTTACCCCTTTAAAGCTGGGCTTCATTACTACAATCATGTTTTGTATCTGGTTATTGGTAATTGAGCCTGAAGACACTCAATTTGCTAAACGTGAGAACTTTATTTAATAATGGGCTGGGCAGCTGTGCAGATTCAACGGTGCCAGCTCTGTGCTCTGACAGCCATTATGGAGCTTTTTGAGCCGCCTAGTTGCCTCAGAGTTAACTTCTGGAAAGCTCTTGCATTTTGAGCTAGAGGAGACATTTGTTATACTTGTCAACGTTGCGATTCTCAGTGCTGTTGCTGCAGGACGGTGAAGGCCTGCATGTTGATAGAATGCCTCCCTCGCTTTTATTGGTGCCTCGGTTGGCGTGCTTACGCGTTTATCGTTGTTTTTTTTCTTCTTTCCCCTTTTGCGTTTTCTTTTCCGATGTGGCCACGGCCGTGTCACTCGCAACACCGTGCCTAATCGTGGAAACGCGATGGTCGCCACAGCCGGGGGGGGGGGGGGGAAGGCATTCATTTCGTCCGCTTAGAAAAAGGGGGGGAATTGTTTGCGCCGCATCAAACGCTTCCAATTTATTTACCGCCTTCTCGCCATTCGCGTCAAGGCCGGCGCTTGACATTGTACACAATCGCTCGCTTCGACACGGTGAAGGCGGCGCTGGCCATCCCGGCGCAGCGGGCACAATGCGGTCGCCTGTTTAAAACGATATTGTTTTGGGTTAATTGGTTGGCCGAACAAGCTCGTTCGGTCCCTCGCGGAGTCTCTATTTTTTGCGGACCTCATTGTGTCATTTTTAGGCCGCTATAAGAGGCCGGCAAATTCACTTGTCGAGTTTGAAGTTGGCAGAGCAGGTGAGGCGCGCTGTCAGCGGCGCCTGACAGACGAACAGGTTCTCCGCATCTCGGGTTGCTCCGTGGTGCGGCCCCAGTTGCGGCCTGGGAAAAGTGTGGAGAGAAGACTTTACTCCGTCCACACTGGGCCCGTGGCATTCTGCTGCCCCTGGAGACAATGGGCCGCAAATCTATCACGGAGGCAAAACAGAGGTGTTTGGAAACAAGCATTCTCCTGGGCTGTCAAGACTCGCTTTCACTGGCCTGAGTGGTGGACAATACTCGGGTCTGAGCCCGGCCCAGCCTCTGATCCGTGTCCCCCACTGGCCACACTGGGGATGCCGCACGCGCACAAAACACTTCTTCCTCGCGCTCGGCTTGTCCTTCTTCTCCTCCTCCTCCGTGCCGTGGCCGCACTTCGCCACCGCGCTGTGCGGTGGCGATTAAGGAGGAGGAAGGCGGTTGGGTGGCGTCGCTCCCACCGTGTTTTCGCCAACGTGTGGCGACGCGGCCACGGGGGGATTTAACCACCCAAGCATGCCGTATCCCTCGCAGCCTCGTCTCCCACCCCTCGGCGCCCGGTCCTCCCCCCCCCCCGCCTTGCCTTTGTCCCCTAACGAATTGCTCTCTCAGCATGGTGTCCCTACTCCCTTTCTTCTCGATTGTCCATGCACCAAAAAAATAAGCGGGAAGCATTCAAATCAACCTTTCCTATTAGCCAAGCACCAACATAATTTCCTCAGATCTTCCCCTCGCGTACCCCGGAGGTGCAGGGCCACAGAAAGGGGGGCCGCCTCAGCCTTTAAGTTTCCTCCCTGCGCCGCTCTCGGCAGTCGAAGGTTGAGTCCCCGCTGTTCCCTGCATAAAGAGCGATGTCCGGGGCGCTGTGCTCCCTGCTGCTAGGAGTTTGTTTCGTGGGCCAGGCGCTGGCACGGCTCTGCCTGTGCCAGTGCGACTGCGAGGTGGACGAACCCTCCCCGCGCCTCTTTACGCCGGGACAGTCGCGCCACTTTGCTGCCACTCGCGGATCACTGCCACTCCACGCAAAACCGCGGCACCTTCTCAGCTGTGAGTACCGACCGCCTCGCCACCCCCCGCCGCCCCCCCCCCCCCCCATCGTTCTCGCGTCTTGTGCCCGCTCCTTACTCCTTCGCTTCCACGATCGCTCGCTCGCTCACCCGCTCGCACGTTCGCCCGTTGTCCTATCTCGCCGGGCAACCGCGAGCCCCCTTCTTTTGCTCCCTCTTCACTCCACCGCAGCGCCTCTCTGGTGGTGGCCGCGAGGTCCGGCGTGGCATTAAGTAACTCCTGAGCAAACACGGGGCCCTCTCTTCCCTCTCTTCAACGGCCGTCGAGTGTGTTGGTTTAAGTGCGGGTGCCAACAAAGGGCAAAGGAAACAATCTGAAGGACTTTCCTCCACAGCTCCTACTTAATTATTCGGGCAGGACTCCGCCGTAAAACGCCTGCTGCCCATTCACGAGTCGCTCTCCTCGGCGACACTTGCTTCAGCCTCCTCCTCTTCTTCTTCTTTTTTTTGTTAGCGGCGCTCCTGGGCCTCTCCCAGGAGCCGGCCACTTATTGGCCCCCCTTTGCTGCCCTCCGTGGCAGCCGGCCTTTGTGGCAGAGAGATCGAGTGCAGATTGAAGATGTGGCGCTGTTGGTCGGCCGCCCTCCCGCTCTCAGGATGGCGAGAGCGCTCCGTGTGTGCGGAATCGGCTGGCTGGAGAGGTTCCCGTAGATTGTGAGCGAAACCAGCGAGTCTGTGAGTTTTTGAGCGTGCGTGTGTGTGCGTATGTGTGCGTGTGAATAGGGAGCAAACACAGCAAGTTGGCACAGTAGGGGGCACAGGTGGTGCATCGGCGAGTCATCTCAGTCGGTCAACCAATGGTACCTGAGTCTGTCCCGTGACCTCCTGCCAGCGGGCGTTCGACACGTCACGTGGCCTTAAAGTGCACCTAGACTGGCACAAGCACCGTGGTGACATAACCGCCACTTAGTGGCGAATGGCGGTTGTTGTTGTTGTGCGTGTAAGCTGGTTGCGAGCAGGTGGGTGGTGAGCGTGTGCAGGGCCGTTTTGTCACATGGCCGAGGTGAAATTTTGTAGTTACCCATTGGGCAACCGTAAGTAACTCTGAGTACATTTTATTGGGTACTCCAGAGTCCAGAAGTTGCTCCAAAATGTTTTTTCAGCCCAAGTAATAGGAGCGTGAGCAATGTGGAGTTGACTTCACGGCACGCTTCGCCGTGCGTTAACGACGAGCGCGGCGTATGTGTGTTTGTCCGAATAAAAGAATATCCCGTGTGCAATGACGTATGGCCCACAATCCAGTGACTCGGGTTGGTAGATGAGTGCTACCGCTGTGTAATGAGGCATGGACTTGCATGAGGCTGTCCCCCTCGCATGCGTGGGGATTTCCCTCAGGCACTAACAGATTCCGCCAACGTCCAAGATTACGAAGGAATGGGCCAAACACCTAAGCAGGCCTGCTGCCATGCGAGCGTTGTATCGGTGGCTCCTGCGGAGTCCTCTGGAGGCATCTGCCTCCTAGTTTGTCGTCAGTGGTCGTAATTATTCCTGCGCAGGCCGGTGACCGTGAAATTAAATGATGTCGGGGCTTAGGGACCCCACATTTCGTGAAGTTCACGCCATCCCCGGAGAGCGGTGCGTGTGCGATGTGCTGTTGCCGTTTACGGTTTAGCTCTTTTTTTCGCTTACGTTGGATAATTGTTCTGTTTGGCATTTTGTCCCTGCGAGGAGCCGTTGTGATGAGGCGATAAGTATAAAACGGTGCTTGCCCTTGAGCGAGGAACCTCAATGTCCGACGATGACGACACAGAAGCCGTACATCTCCCTCGCACTGCCATGTCCGTTGCGACGTTGGGATTCATGCACATGTGTGTGTGTGTTATCATTGTGGATGGGGAGCGGTAGTGTAGCGGTGAGCGCGCTGCGCTATGAACCTGGCGACCCGGGTTCGATTTCCGCTCACGGCCAACACCAGTGACGATTATCTGAACCGGTCCTGGGCCTCCCTTAGGTCGACTCATCCTCAAATGAGTAACTGTTGCGGTGGATAAAAACATTGCCACTGGGGAGACTAAGGCGGTCGGGCGTGGTGCTGGCCACCCACCCCCTCGTGTACCGTTCCGGCCGTCATAGGTGCTCGCTAACAGTACTTGCCCCTACAGTCTGTTAAGGCTATACGGGGGATCTTTGTCTTTGTCTTTGTTATCATTGTGGGGGGAGTGGTAGTGCATCACGGGTTGGCGTGCTGCGCTGAGAACCCAGCAATCCAGGTTCAATTCTCGCTCATGGCCAATACCAGTTACGATTATCTGAACCGGTCATGGGCCTCCCCTAGGTCGACTCAGCCTCAAATGAGTACCTGGTGCGGTGTGTAAACATCGCCACTGGGGAGACAAAGGGGGTCGGGAGTGGTGCTGGCCACCCGCCCCCTTGTGTTCCGTTCTGGCCTTCATAGGTGCTCGCTAACAACCCTTGCCCCTACAGTCTGTTAAGGCTATAGGGGATCATTGTTTTTGTATTTGTTATGATTGTGATGGAGCAGTGGCACAGTGGTTAGCACGCTGTGCTACGAACCCGGTGTTCTGAGTTAGTTTCCCATTCATGGCCAACAGCCGTTATGATTATCTTAACCGGTACTGCTGCCTCCCCTAGTACGATTCAGCCTTAAGTACCTGGCGCGGTGTCTAAGCATTAGTATTGGGAAGACAAAGGCGACCGGGCGTTTTGCTGGCCACCCACCCCTCACGTGTCGTGTTGGCATTCATAAGTGCTCACTAATAGCACTTTCGCCACAAGTCTATAATGCCTATATTGGTGTAACATAAATGATTCCAAAGTATTGAAGGTGAATATTTTCGTTTTTAATTATGTTGAAAGATCTATTAGGGAGGAGACATTCAACAAATGATTTACCTAAAAGAAATATGCTCAAGAGTCATTTAAGATGAGGAAATGAAATGTGACTTAAGCTTCTTTAACATTTACTTACTCGCGAAACTAAAATCTCCTCCAATGGATGGATCACCAACAATGTGCAGCGTAAATCTGAGCAGTGTGCCAGATATAATTCTAAAGTGCGTCTTATTAATGTCATTTTATAGTGTGCTATTCTTTCCAGTGACACAAAAAACTCATGAATGAGGCAAGCATAATTATGTATTAAATGGTCTTCGTTTCACCCACTTTTACTTCGACAAATGTATTTCTTTGCGTAAAAGCCGATTTGATTTTGTTCAGCAGATGTGATGAAAAGCGCTGCGCTCTAAAGGTAATTAACAATAAATTTTTAAAAGGTTACTCCGCAGACTCCATGTGGTGCTGTCGCCCCCATGGCTCTTCCTGAAAATTAATCTGTCAGCCTTGGTGATGCACTGTACTGTAAGCTCGTAAACACTTCTGGGGAATGTAAATGCATCCGTGCGTCGTCCGTCTGTGATCTTCCGTTTGCTGTCCTTTTTTTAACCAGTTGTTGGCCTACTGCAAGTCCGTTCTCTCGTTCACCAGAGAGATGTTACTCGGGCATGGACGTCATTATTATAATTTTTATTTTTTGTTATTCATAATACTGTAATGATGTTTAAAAAGCCAACAATATCCCTTTGCCAATCTACCGCTGGATGAAGGCCTACTAATGCTGTGTCAGTGCTGGGGGTACTTTGACCATGCTGGTCAGTGCGGGTTGGTGAAGAGGGACCCATAACCAGTTCTGATATTACTCTCCAACTATATATTAGCCACGGCCGGGAATCGAACTCGGGTCACTGGGTTCATAACACAACGCGATTTATACGCCAGTATTTCACCTCAACTGGAATTTTGGGCTCTGCCACCTGCACGACATGAACTGGTCGTATGACAGACATCTCCCGGAGAATGCAATGCTCCACGTGGTCGCGGGTGGAGTGTTGTCGGCGAGTCGCAGAATGAACCGTGAGGCGGCTGGCTGCAGCGTAAATCAAACGGCAGGCGTCGTGCAAGCCGGCTCGGTGGCGAGTGCCCGGACGGCCCAGGTCACCTGTGCACCCCCCACACACCACGTGCGCCGCATTCACAACAATAGCACGTCCACCTCACACTCCCGAGCCCAATCCTCAATGCGATTCACATTGCCGTCCATTTACCTGCCAGTGTGCACATTTACCTGTCAAGCGATTGTTTTGCCCGCGAATTCCGTAGCTGTTTCGGTGTTTTGAAATTGCAGGATTAGAGAAGATAAAAAGGGTCTTTGGATGAAAGAATCATTATGTGGAATGATGTTACATTTGAAACGCTGTAAGTAGCCGAGTCAAATGTATTTTTAGAATCTACGGACATCGGCAGCGTCTTCAACGCAGAGGAATGTGGTGCATTACTGCTGCACTGCCTAAGTAACTTGGATTTTTCAGATTCGTATTGGGAGCATTGACCTTGGCCTATAACCTCTTACCCCTAAAAAGAAAACAAGCCCCTGTGAGATATCAAGATCATAGGAATGTCTTGAGAGTGTCAAGACTGGTCAAATCGTTGTGGAGATACCGTTGGCACAGATGGAATGTTTTGGAGTGCCGTGACCCGTGGCCTAAAAAAACAATCCTTGGAGAGTCGCTTCAGACTGAGGTCATCCCCAGAGATTTGTCAAAATTGGTCAAATGGTTTAAGAAGTAGGGATGGCCAGACGGTCGGAGATTGCTTATGCGATCTGTTCACTTGGTGGGTGGGTGGTTGTGGTGGTGGGGTGGGGGGTAGTAGGCCAGGGGGGAAAAAAGGCCTTATTAATGCATGCAGCACCACGCTCACTGTAGAACATAATACTGATACTAAAACAGAGATGCCAAAAAAAATATACCAGCCAGCAGTTCCAGAGGAATGATAATAACATGGTACCAGAAATGAGAGACGTTTGACTGCTGGGATACCGTTAGCTGGAGTGCACGATATTTCCAAACGCACTCTATTTACGTCGAGTTTGTTAGGCGTTAAAAATTCAAAACACGTAATGTCCATAATATTTGGAGCTGGCACGCCGCTTAATGGCAATTAACGGTTGAAACGTAGTTCGTTGTGCGTGCAATTACAAATCCCGTGAGCATTGTGATGTAATTAAAAACAAACACTCGTGGGTGGAATTGGGGAAAATTAGCATTTTTAAATGAGATTTGGGAAAGTAAAAAAAAGGGAGGAATTCAAAAGAATTTATATATAAAACAAATTTATTCAACAATAAGCATCACTGAAAAATGTTGTTACAGAAATTATCGGGCCTCCTGAGAAGCCCCTTTGAGACTGCACGAAGACACCAGCCAAGAAGGCCCCATTGCTAAGGAAGTCGTGACAATCTCATTAATACGGCGTTTGCTCAGGATTTCTCGGTATTTATGTTGCCAAATACAGTGAAACCTTGGATTGCGAGCATAATTCGTTCCGGAAACGTGCTCATAATCCAAAGCACTCGTATATCAAAGCGAATTTCCCCCGTAAGAAATAATGTAAACTCAGATGATTCGTTCCACAACCCAAAAATACTGTATTCATATAAAAATGATTAATACAAAATAGCTTTTATATTTGTATTATTTAAATGTAATATAAAGTAATCAAATTTATTAATTACATTTGTATCGTGGCTGGTGTGAGGGAGACGAGAGAATGGAAGAGGGTTATTGTGTAGGACGACTTTCACTTGCAGTAGTTACTAAAGAAGTCACTACACTTGGACACAAAATAAAAAAATGATTTACGCACACATGTGGTTACAACACGATACTGTAGTAAACAGTATACACGTGGTCACAACACTATAGTACTGTAGTAATACACGTGGTCACAACACTATAGTACTGTAGTAAACAGTATACACGTGGTCACAACACTATACTGTAGTATACACGTGGTCACAACACTATAGTACTATAGTAAACAGTATACACGTAGTCACAACACTACAGTACTATAGTAAACAGTATACACGTGGTCACAACACTATAGTACTATAGTAAACAGTAAACGCTTGCACGGATGTTGACTATAAGAGTGAGGCACGCCGACTGAGACCGAGCATGGGAGATGATTACCCACAATCCCGCAGCGAGAGAGAGAGAGAAGAACCATTGGCTCAGTTGTGATCACGTGACACTCGGCAGACAAAGCGATTACCCACAATCCCGCAGCGAGAGAGAGAGAGAAGAACCATTGGCTCAGTTGTGGTGACGTGACGCTCGGCAGGCAAAGCGTTATACTGTGTACGTACTGCTCGTATTGCAAGACATTGCTCGTTTATCAAATTATTACTTATTTACATTTTTGCTCGTCTTGCAAAACACTCGCAGACCTAGTTACTCGCAATCCAAGGTGTCACTGTAAAGGGGACCGTTTCCCACCACGTGCCTCGATATAAAGTGGTCAAGCATCGAGGTGACAAATCGCCCCTCAGTCTCGTGAGCAGAATTAATATTTAATGAATGTCGCAGCCACAGTGCCGCATTAGAAAATAACCTATGGCTAATGACAAAATAATAATGGTAACTGGCCCTTAATGGGATTGTAGCTCAATGCCTCTTGCAAAAATAAATCACAAATCTTATCAAGCTATTTCTAATTAAAATAAGTTACGTTTAATTTGACGTTGACAATTCGATATTGACACTAACTATAAAAGTAAATAAGAGAATGTGAGATTGAATGCCAATGTTTTCAATAATGGACACAATATATAATCTCATGACAGTGATGTAATGAGACACAATGTAAGGAGTGGTCAAGCCAATCATTGAAACCTGCTGCTGCATGCTGCCTCGTGGCTACTGGGAGCCATGGATTCTACACTTGATTGAATAACATATTAGTCATTTACAGCCCTTTGTCAATCCACTTTTGGAAGAAGACCTCATCACTGGCTTGCTATCCGTATGATTGGCATGACCATATTTGACCACGATAGTCAGTGTAGGTTGGTGAAAGATGTGTGGCCGTGACCGCAATTAAACTGAGGCTGCCGGGTTCATTGTGGAGCGTCCGAATCACCGTGCCGCGACGATTAAATAATAGGCACTTAATTGAATGTTTGTTCACTTAGGTAGACGTATGAATGAGTCACTATTTACTATGATCAATCTTTTGCTGGGTCACAAACGTTGCGATGGAGCAAGGCTTGCTTGGGATCCAATAAATAAGTGGTTCTTGTTGAGAGGGCATAGCACGAGAAATTCCCACAACGATTACTTCGTGACAGAAATTGGCTCTGGGTAGCTGGTGCTGTTTATATTTTCGTGTGTCTTGGCTTTTATGCCGGTTTTTTTCTTTCAAAATATATAAATTAGTCGATCTATCCGACGCGTTTCGCTGGGAAGGGATGGCGGTGTAACTCCTAGGCGCACTGCCTACCTTTGGACACTCGTGGGCGCTAACGCTCTGTGACCGAGCCCCCTTACCCTCGCCACGTGGTTCTAGCGCGCCCCCTATCACCGTCCACGCGCACGCAAAAATTCGGACCACTCACTCGGTCAACTCTCGCTTATCCGGGGTAATTGTCTGGTCGGAAGGGTTGGTCCAGATAAAACACCAACAAACAAATACGGACAATGCCAAATACATGCGATATTCCAAATGTTAAAACAACAACCCATGTATGTGTATTGCTTACCAATGGAGAGCGTGGGTGAAGACGTAGAAGGCGTGGGATGTTTGGCCAACAAAACCGCGAATGTTTGGCTTCATATGGCAGGAAACCAGGAGCACCTGGAGGGAAACACGCGCAGATGGATTCAATCAACCGCTGGACCGCCACCTGATGGCCATCTCATTGCCCAAGCCTAACACAACACCTGGTTGTTCTCAGGCGGTCTCTCATCCAAGCACGAAAGCTTGATCCTGGCCTAGCTTTTGAGATGTGACAAGATCGGGGGGGGGGGGGGGGGCATTTAGGCTGTTCGGGTCTGTAACCTAAAGTTTGAGTACACATAAATAAAACACACAACACGTGCCATTTGAATACAACCACGAGCTACCGCTGACTGCTCACTGGGGCAAACCTGCCACTCTGCACCACAGGAGTTACGTTGTGCCTGTTGTATGTATACACAACACTTGAGAGACACAAGATTGGTAATCTACCCATCCGTGAAGGGCCTTACCCAGGTATGCTGGGGCACATTTGACAGCAGGCCATGTATTCACTGTGTTCGCTGCACATGTACGGAACAATGGTTTATATTTTGAGCTACGTGCGCGTGTATGCCTGAATCGCCCGCGTGCCTTTCTTGTTGAGACGTATTTCGCGGCACATTCACAGTGACTCCATGAGTAGATAACTTAGTGCCACCAATAATCCTGCACCACCCTCCAACTCACACTTATAATCCTACTCCCACTCTATAGACCGGACCAATGACCCAACTCCCAATCTAAAGCCCAGACTTTGACTTTATCACCGATTCTACAGCCCAGACCTTGATCTCAGCATTCACGTCTATGCTCCCACCTTGATCAACCCGTACGAACTAGCACGGTGAAGTATGGTTACATAACCCCTCTGACCCGGTCTTCATCCAGGAAGAGACCGGTAGAAGGGCTGTACATGTACAATCTAACAGTGCGGTTGGGATTTTCAAATTACTCTTTTGATTATTATTTTCACTCACATGTGCAAGCGCTACTCCCAGAAGCCATTCTACAGTTTGTAAATGTTATTTTTAAATGTTATGAGTGAGCGTAGTCTGCAGCCTATGTTGGCTGTCTATAATAATTTTCTGACGAAGACCAGTAATTTCAAACGTCGAATAAAAAACTATGGTTGTTGTCAAGGACCACTGAAGATTTAATTTTGAATGAATGTTGTGTCATCGCAGCATCGTGTGGTCTGTTAAATTATTTCTTGATGTTATTGGAAAGAGCACTCCATATTGAACATGGAGCCCTGTTCAGCATAGTTCGGCCTAGAAACATGTCTAATAAATAAAATATTAACACGTTGGCTTTGGCGACCAATATGATTCATGATTGATTCCTGGGTTAGTTCCCACATGAGAAAATTACGTGTAAATGCCCGTTAGTTTCCAACGCAAACACCGGAACATTTCCACAGAAAGCTGTTTTATGCAATCAAACACTGGAGAAAACCCCACGCATACGAGGGAGACACCACGCAATATACATTAAAAAAAAATCCGTCGCCGATGGGTTGGCAGTTTGTTTGCTGCCGTGCCATCTCCTGGTCACCACATAATCCCTGCGGGCCGAGAGAGTCCTCGCAGGTTCGTAATGATGACGGCGATCTTTTCCCGATACCACCAAACGCGCTTTACCAAGGCAGCTGGATTATGATTATTGACGTGAGCCACCGCGCCCGGCCCAGCACCGCGAGCTCCCGGGGCCAAACTGCCGCAGGCAACGGCAGCGTTCGGTCCCTGACGACTGTGGCACGCGCGAACTAAATCCACGTGCGTCACGTACGTCGGAGCACCCAATCAACTTACGCAGCTTTGCAATTACCGTGGTAATTGAAGGTATTATTAGAACGGGTCGAGATGATCATTGCGCAATGTGCCAATGTTACGGCAAAAAAACACACAGACATCTCGCTTGAAATGAACGTCGACTACACAGCAAAAGTGAAAAATTTGAGTACGTGTGTCACGTGTGTCAACTCAACCAAGGAGAGCCTCCTTTTTAAAGGCCACAACATCCCCACGAGTATCTCACTTGGGCTGAAACACAACCCAAGCACACAACGCAATAAACAAAAACATCACTTACAGTCCATTGTCGATCCACTGCTGGATGAAAGCCTCCTCTTCACGCCGTGTTGGTCATTGGGGATGTTCGACCATACTTCGCCACGCTGGTCAGTGCGGGTTGGCGATCGGTGGGTAGGACCGGGAATTACACAAATTCAGTTTTCCGACTTCATTCCGCAAGTGAGCCAACCACTGCACCACCTCCCCCCCCAAACGCCCCCCCCCACATCCACCTATAACACAATCCACTAACATTCCTACGGGTAACATAGTGCAGTGTAGCAAATGACACAAAGGCGGTTTTCATGCGAGACTCTCCACCCCCCCCCCCCCCCCCATAAAACCTTGCTCTGATTTTCGCCGCGTTCTTAGAGAGTCATTGTATTGAACTGCCATTGCCGTGCGTAATGTCGCATGTTTAACTGGCGTTCCATTGCCCTGGTCTATATTACAGTTTGCTAAAACAAATAAATAACTATACCCAACCCCCTAAATAATATTGGAGCCAAGATATTAAATCACGCCACGCCGCGGCTCCCCCGCACCCATTAAAAACAAGTTTGGATGGATATGACTTAATTGTGCAATTCTTGTTCAGCTATGCGTGCCGAGTGAAATGGATCACACGCACAAAAAAAAACAGCTTTGAATTGTAATACCGTATTCTCCACATTATAAGACGCCTCGGAAAGTATAGACGCACGCCACCACACTTGTACCCCCCCCCCCAGCGTCAATAAAGTTACATCGATTTTGGTCACACGCAAAACATGACACACCGGATTATAAGACGCACCCCCAACGTTTGCTTTCCAGAGTGGGGGGCGACTATGCGTCTTATAATCCGGAGAATAGGTCATTCATTCGGGGGGGGGGGCATCGGTTTGACCAAAGGCACAGAAAAAAACCCCAACAGAATACATGAGGTTTGTATATGCTGCATTGTTGCGTACTTTTGTTTGAGACATTTGCATCGCTCGACTGTGCGCCGAAGAAACCATCATTAGCCACGAGCCATCCGCCGCTGGGTTGACGGTCATCCATCCCCCGATGAGCCCTCGTCGCCGTCTCTCGGGGTTTCTGCGATGCAACGAGCCCACCTCGGCTTCTTCGTGCAAAACGGTAACGAGCCGATTTTGGGGCTCCGTCTCCGCGTTGGGCGGCCCTCTCAGTGGCCACGTTTTACAAATCCGCAGAACTCGCGTTTGAAAGCAAGTCAGATGTCGTGTCCCCACACTTACTCCACCACCCCCCCGTAATCTTAATTCTAATTACAGTCCTACAACAGCTCCCCCACCGCCCCCACCACCCCCACGTCCTAATTTCAAGAGGGCTCCTTTTAAATTGGTGCAGCGAGCCGACGCTGTCCCCGAACAGCCAATTTGGTTTTCGCTATTCAGTTAAATACGAGTGCTCACATAAAAAAAAATTCCAGTCCTTTTAAGTTGATATATCACGTCGTTCCCAATGCTAAGGGAGGTTGTCCACAGGCGTATTGTATAGACTTGCAGATTACCTCTCGTCTATGGCTCTGTCTACCAGCCACGTGCCTGGCTGCTCAAGTACCACAAGCGACCCGGGGAAATTTTCAGTGAGAAATTAATCCCCGATGATACACTCACACACACGCCACGTGCGTGCTTGTATGAGGAGGGGTAGCGTTACTAACCCGTCGTGCAGAGTTCGATTCCCGCTCACGACCATCAACGCCAGTGACCATTATTATCTGGTACCGGTCCTGGACCTCCCCTAGGTCGACTCAGCCTCAAATAAGTATCTGGTGCGGTGTGTAAATTTCGCCGGTAGGGAGACAAAGGCGGCTGTGCGTGGTGCTGGCCACTTACCCCCTCGTGTTCTTTGCCGGCCTTCGTAGATGCTCGCTAACAGCACTTGCCTCAACAGTTTGGTAAGGCTATACGGGGCATCATTGTCTGTACGTGTGAGTGCACGTGCCGTCCTGCAGTGGGGTTGGGTTCACTGCACGTTTAGCGGTAATAGGGCGTGTGTGGCAATTAGGGAATGACAGTGATTTTAACCCGAACAGCCACGTGTAACTAAAACATTCGTTTCAATCGACCTGGCCTCTCAATGGAACCCCTTCGCCACGGCACAATTAACGCCCCCAATGATACCTCCACCTTCACCACTAACGGCCCCCTCATTCGCAATCTCCACCTCCTCCTGTTCCTCCCCCCCCCCATCAACCACTCTGTTATCTCAACAGCCTCTTACTTAATATGCCTTCCCGCACCTCCTCCTCTTAATATTCCACCTCCTGGTACGTCATCCTCTCTTCACCTCCATCCACTCTGACGCCCATCGTACTCCAAGTCCCACCAACCTCTAGAGCACCTCCACGGACGTTTTTTGTAACCACCTCTTTACCTCGTTCGACACCGTCCGTTTCTTCATCATCATCATCATCTCATCCATCTCATTTGTCTACTCAATCCCGACCCACCGACTCATCCACCACCCCCCCCCCCCCCCCCCCACTTAACCGCCCAATATTTAATGAAGACGATTATGAACCGTTGGACAACCACACACCGTATGATGCTGATCATGGTGGTAGTGATTGGTGCCTGTGGTTATATTGTGTATGAAGGTGCGGAGGATTGCGACGGTGGTGACGATGCTTACCTGGGAGCGGTGGCGCCGTGGTTAGCGCACTGCACTACGATATGAACCCGGAGAGTCCTGACTTCGGTTAAATCGAGTGTTATCACCACCGCCCCTGTGCTGAAGCGTGCTCGAAGAGGAGGCCTTCGTCCAGCAGTGGATTGACAAAGAGGACTGTAAACAAAACAAAACGGAGAGCGTGGACAATCTACGCGTCTCCTTCGCCAGCCGCTCATCTCTCCTCACATGCGGCTACATTCCATCCGACCACGGCTCCCTAACCCCCCCCTCCCTTCCACGCGGACATCTCCCCGGTTCAGCAACATCCTGTCGGGCACCGTGTTGTTGTCTGCCTGCCCTGGCTGGCTGGCTGGCTTACCTGATGAATCAGCCGCCGAAGGTCCCTCCTCCGGCATGCCTCTCTGCGTCTCGCGTCTCTCTTTCTCTTCTGTTTGCGTAACGTCTCCTTTGCGGCGCGTTTTAACAAGTTGTCGGCGAACACACATACAGTGCATACAAATATATATACACTCTGCTGTACTGGCGTTGGCTTTGTGGGTTTTATACTTCACACTCCACGGGAGGCGAATTATTTGGTTCACTCACGATGAGGATTGTATGTATATATGTTTTAAAAAAAAGTGTTTATCACAAGACTTGAGCAATGCAGAACTTTAGGCTGTCGCTGCCCTCCACTCCCCTCCTCTCCAATGGGTTAAACAATCACCCCCCCCACTCCCGACCACTCCAGGCTGCTGTACCATATTGTAACGTTCTAACATTATACTGTGTGTACAGACATGACAACGCGACTGTAGGTCTCCTTCATACACACCCGTCTCTCCACGTATAAATCACGAAAGCATGCGTGCCGCAATGCATAGACCCCACGCGGTCTTCTGGAAGCGCATCGTTTCAGCAGCTTTGATTCAGTGTAAGCAAAGCTCTGGACCGGTTTCGACACAACGCGTCTCATCGGCGGTCACAGGCTTGCTTGCTTGCTTGCTCGAATCAATGCTGCCGAAAAGCCAGGAGTTGTGGGCGAGTGGGTCCCTCTTCGTCTCGTTAAGATGTTGGTTGAGCGTTGTAGCTCTTCCAAGAACACGATTTGGATTTACGTGACTCATTTGGTCACGGTTTTCCGTGTGTTTTTTTCAGTTGCATTCATTTGGTATTGCCCTGTGAGCCATTCGGCTCTTGTTGCATCGGGTGCAACCACAACAAACACAAAACATGAAAAAGAAAACATCTTAAAGTGACTATGCGCAAACAGCATAAATTGCAACTGAGTACAGGCCTGCGAGATGACCCCGACGACACCGCCAGTGGTAGTTGGAATCTAAACCCGCGCTGGGCAACCTCTAGGTAGACTCGGCCTTAAATGGGTATATCACTTCATTACAATGATATTATTACAAACAGTACCGCGATTGAGACGAAGGCGGTCGTGTTTGCAACCACGTTACCCATATTCCGTGTCGAACTTAAGAGGTGCTCGCTCACAGCATTTGCCCCGAGGCTGAATGTAGAGCATATGGAGTTCGATCCAAAGGCTCCGATAACTCATGGCCAATGGGAAAGTCACGTTAAGTGTGCTTACAATCAGCCACAGATGTACACATTATGAACTATGATTCCGTAAGATTTGTTACAACAGGCAAAGTCTCGACTGGTTTCGCTCTTCTGGGGCTCATCAAGCAGTCAGACGAGCTAGAATCCTGCTGGTTTACCAGATGTTATTGGCATGAGCCTCTCTGTTATGTATACCATGGGCCGTCATCGCAACAACAAAAAAATATCGGAGCGGAGCATTCTTGATAATACAGATAGTCCTCGAGTTACGATGGTCCGACTTACGATATTTCGATCTTACGATGGCGATAGCGATACGACAAAATTGTCAAATATTTTCAATTTCGCGAGGCAGGCAAACGCAGCAGCGTACTAGGCACGATACTGTACGTTGGGACGCTGACGGCATGTACGCATCTCCCGCCTTTCAATTAAATTGCAGTTCATATAGGTAGGCTAAGAATTTACCTTGTTTTTTTAACTTTACATTTTACTGTGCAATACAGTATTGTAATTAATCAATACATACAGTGTATAGTTTATACAGTACGGTACTGTAGATAGCTCTGTGTTGCTAAATTATCACCATTCTTTAAGACTCCTGGGTAGGCTAGGCCATCTTCGACTTACGATATTTTTTACTTACGATGGGGTCGTCGTAACGCATCTTCATCGTAAGTAGATAACTACCTGTAAATAAGTCAAATTCCGCCCAGTTTCGCCACTTAAATAAAACATATTTTAGCCTGCCAGCCAATTGCTTGTTTTGCTTAAACACCCAGATAGAGGTACAATGTATCGCCCCTTTGGTGATTCATCAGCAGTCAGACACGCTCAAGTTACGCGCAGGAGGCGGCTTCGCTAATTGCGATTGGGCAACGTATTTCAGCATGAGAATATTATTGTGTTATTTTATTTGATCAATTTATTATTTTATTCTCATTCTACGTGACTTTACCGAAAGAACCAAAGAAGATATTTCAGCTTGCTCAACCTAGAACGCCAATTACGATGTCAATGTGCACGAGTATATTACTATTATATATATTTTTAATTGCCTTTTATATAAAACACACAGCCTAACACGAAGTGACGCGGGACGTGGCCTGACCTCGTCAGGTCTCGGAAGCTACGGAGAATGTTGGGAGCCTGGGCCATGCCTCAGGTGCACAGCACAGGTGTTATAGGCTGCTCCAAGGGCGACGTTGTCGGCAGAGGGCAGTACAGCAACGTCTGTAGTTGTACTGTACTGTGCTCCAATGGCTATGCTCCCTCTGCCATCACCTACCCACAGCGAGCAGCGTGGTGAATGAATTAGGGTCAAATGACCGGCCAAGACACGGCTCTCATACAGCAGTGGATTGAACAGAGGGCAAGAGCGCAGAAGCGTGGTCACCACAGCTACGCCTCTATATAAGGAACAAAACAGGTGGACTTCTCCACAAATCTGGCTGTCGCCTGATGAAGCTAGTTGTAATTACTGGCGAAACGTCGTACTCAGATTGTAAATGTTGTGGCTTGGCTCTCCAACACACCGGTGTTGCTGTACTAGTGACGAATTGGCCACGTTCTGTTTACGTGACAACCCTTACTAGTTGGCTGTGTCGGGTGGTGGCGGGTTTTCACGACACATTTATATATTTACGCGATCTAACCCAAAAAAAACCTCTATTATGGATAACAGAGGGCTGTACGTGTATACACATGCATCTCCACATAAATTAGTATTCATATCGTTATGACAGTAAACTCCTTTGATTAATTCAGAAAAGCCGTGAGTTTAAATTATGGCCCTGCATTTGGGGATGTTTGCCTAATTCCACGCTAATGGGGAGCGTTCGGCACACGAGATAAGAGATTGTGAGCGTCAACGTATTTTCAGCTGCATGGTTAAATACGGTAATACTACCCAATCGATTTAACTGCTCGCTGCCGTGAATTGTGTCCACAGGGAGAACGGAGTCTCGGCGTGTTGCCTAGTGCCACGTGCAGTATACACAAACAGCAAATGCACAGTACGCAGTGACATAGACTGCGTGCATTATATACTTGCAGTGTAGGAGAACTTGTCATGGAATGTAGGCCGTTAAGAGTTTAGCCGCCTCCGTTGTGTGAACATCACCGCCGACAAATGTTTGCGAGGCTGTGCAATAGCTGCGGGGAGGTGGAGGGGGGGCGGTGGTGGTCGCTGTGTCCACGTGAGTACAAATGAGAATTCGCGAGCGACTATTGATCGCCAGCGTGGCACGTGAGTGAGCTGTGTACATCAGCGCGCGCGTCTTTGTCTCTCTGCTCAGTATCCCCCCCTCCTCCCCACCACCCTCACTCACATTCGTCAATGGCACTGCCTCACAAACAGAAAACAATACGTACAATATTGTTTGGGTCTTTCGGTAAAGTCACGTAGATAGGTTCAAAGAAAATAACAAAAGACGACGACGTTTCGATCACAACACAAGCAGGAAAGCTTTAAGTCAAGATTTAATATGTACAATAGGCTGACGTTTCGGGCAATGGTCCTCTTTTTCAGAGCAGAGAAGGGTGTGTGTAGGCTACGCCGCAAATAGGCTTACTCATTTAAGATGGCCAATGTTTTTGCCAGACTTATCATTGTATTCGAATAATTCTTAACGTTGAACACTGTAACAAGACGGGAGCGAATGTAAGTACGTACTGTCATGGGCATTTATTTACTTCGGTACGCGGTTCAACAGATGCACTCACACAGCGCTTACGAGCTTCTCCGTGCCTTTTAGTGTTGTTCGGAATTATGTCCGACGTTTCGATCCACGTGCTGGGAGCTTTATCAGGAACTGAATCGATTATATACGCGTTGCCGGCTTCCGCCGGATTCTGATGTCGGCCCGACTTCAAATCAATTCCCGAAGAAGCTCCCCGCACGTGGAGCGAACCGTCGGACATCATTCCGAACAACACGCGCGGTACGACCCATAAAGCAGAACCGCCAGCGCTTATTACGTAGTCGCAACGATGCAAGGGGTTGCACACCCCTGCAATGACCGTGCCGTCCTCGCTCTCGCCACTTGTGGCCGATGGGCCGTCCACAAGAGGGAGCTCCAGACAGCCCCTAAATTAGGACATCTTTGGCCTACTCTTCCACGCTGCCAAAACGTCTTGGAAGAAGGTGAGATCACCCCACGCTTGACCCCACCATAACAATGCCGTGCCCCATGTATACTACTTAGGTAGATGAAGGCGCTTGGGGATGGTGGGGAAGTAGTAGGGGGTGAGGGGGTGGGGTAAGAATCGTGCACGTTGTGTTAACTGCCGCGCAGGGAGAACGACGAAAGAAAACCGGCGACCCGTGCAAGTCCCGTGTGCAGCTACGGCATTGCCGGTCATAGTTAGCAGCGGTGGTCATCCCGTTCACTCACGCAGCACTCGCCCCGGCCGCGAGCAAACAACAACCCGCCGCCACCCAAACAGCAGAACCTCCCACACCAGCAACCACCACCAACCAGCCACCAACCCCACCCCCACCCCCCACGCGTGGGGTCCGAATGGAACGCGCCGCTCGCTGCTGAGAGCCGAGAGCGAGGAAGAGGAGGAGGGAGGAGGAGCTGAGAGTGCGAGGCGCGTGGTGAGTGTGTGGGGGTGAGTGCGGGAGTCCGCTCGCGTGTTGAGCGCGCGCGCTGCTCTCTGCGCAACGTACGCAACAAGCTCATCACCAACAACCACCATCATCACCAGCAGCAGCAGCAGCAACAACATCATCAACAACAACGGCCTCATCATCGCCATCGTCATCGTTTGTCGCAAAGCCGCGGTGGAACGGACGCGAACTCGCTTCGGAACGGACGCGACTCCCCGACTCGAACCGCTCCGACCCGACGCGACCCAAGCCGGCGAACGGATTTGCGCTCTCGCCTCTCATCCGTCGGCCGCGAGTGTCCGTGGAACTGGGTGGCTGGCAGCTTGGTGTTGGTGGACTTTGGCGACGGCCCAGCGTTGAAAGCTACGACAGCGATAAGCAGCAGCAGCAACAAGCAGCAGCTGTAGTTTAAAGCGCAAGTCTTGCGTAAGTTGCGCGCTCACAAACCCTCCCGAGCGAAGTGCGTGAGGTTGTGCGCAACGCGTGCCTATTTGAGTTTGTTGCGTGAAACACGTTACGCGTTACGCGTTAACTGGAATGCAGTATTTATTTTAAACGTACGGCCGTTCCCTTCTTCTTGACTCTTTTAAAGTAAATAGGAGCCGATCGGAATTGGAAGTAAAAAAAAAAGAAAAGCTGCGGCTTCATTCGAATGCGTTAAGCTCATTCATTCGCGTGGAGGGCTCGGCACGGTGTGTCCATGCGGCCATCGCTGCTTCAGCGTGTATCCCGATAATTATTATTGCCATTATTTAATTTAACCTTCACAATCGTCGCAAATAGAAGACGGCATCGTCCGTACCCCAAGGCTCTTCTCTAGCTCTCTCTCTCTCATCCTCGCCCTCCTGGCATCCGCTCTCTTCTCGTCTGGGAACGGTTTCGACAGCGGCCGCCGTGTGTCTTCGGGAGGAGGAGGGAGATCCGAGTGATTGAGTGAGAGGGGGAGGAAGGGTTGAAGTTCCGTTCCATCGAAGGAGAGGTGGGAGGGGGGAGGAACTGCAACATCCTGGTGTGTGTCCCCCCCCCGTCTCAAGCAAAACAACAAACAACTCCTTAAAGTGAAGACGACTTAAGCAAGTGCGACGCCACATCACGCGACAACGCGAATGGCTCCCGGGATCTTCGAGGCGAATTGACATCTTCGAAGGAGCGAGCGCTTGAGGAAGGCCTGTGGGCAGGACGATAGACCTTTACACAAGTGGACCCTCGACGAGGAGACGTCGGGACTTGAGCTGAAGGGAACTTTTTTTTGTTTTTACGGCGGAGCCATTTCTTGTCGACGATGAGAACGAGACACCTCAATGCGTGAACCTTACCTGAGAGAAACATTTGAGGATGAAATAATTTTGAAGAGGAGCAGGGAAGACATTTGAGCGAGGAAGAGCAGGGGGAGGATATATTTTTTTTGAGAAGACGACTAAGGAAGAGGAAGATCTTCGTGCGAGTTGTGCCTTGACCAAAGCGTAGATCCTGTCGTGACCACCATTCATAATTATCGTCACCACCATCACCACCTCCCCCTGTAGCTGTCGACCAGAAGTTGTGGTGGGTCAGAGTCGAACCCCCATTGAGGGGACCCGCGTGAATCGATGCGGCAAGGACCCACGTCGAGGGACTTAGAACCGCGAAAGAAAGTAATTAAGACTTAAGCTTATTAACTTTTCAAACACATAAATGAGAGCATCGTAGCATCACTAATCTCCAATTTCTTGAGCGACGGGCGGATTGGTGTGGACAATGGGAGGCCGCTTGCATCTCTTCGTCTGTCTGCTCGGTGGCATCATCTCGCACGCCCTGGGTAAGTCAATGTATGCCATGGAATTGTACGTTGACCTTTTGTTCGCACCGTACCTAAGTCGCCAACCGTGCTAATCGGCGGTGCGTTGCCCCCGGTCTGACCGCGGAGGCCGTTCCGTTACGGAAATAATTGCTCTTTCAATACAAATACTGTTTGAACTATTCCACGATGTTTTATCTTCGGTAAAGCTGTTATCAGTTTGGAATGGTTCCGGGGGTGGGGGGGGGGGGCAGATGGGGCATTTAAAATTTCGTTGCTCTTGGTGAGATAATCGGGACGCATTTTCGATTTTGCCCCGAAATGTAACAAACTTCTGTCTCATGTCTGTTGAGCTGTGCTAAGGTTTTTGTTATTTTGTTACCTCCCTCTCCCATCTTTTAAACCATCACGCGTTTAGCAAAGGAATTTGAGTGCCCGTGAGAGATCATGGGGGGGGGGGGCGGGGTTGGGGGGTGGGGGATGAAATTCATCCAGCAGTGGATTGATACTGGCTGTCGGTCCTTCTGTTGGTGATGACGAAACAGTCACTGGAGCGAGGCTTTGGCGGCGGGTGCAGTGTTGAAGCGGCTTCTTCTTTCTCTCACAAATTAGCATCACCATAGCATGGCACCAGGGGACACGCCACACATACAGCGTGCTTCTTAAAAAGAGAATCGTGGATATCCGAGAAACGCATTCCACGTGAGAATCTCAAACAATTTGTGCGTTTAGACACGTTCTTAGGAGGCTGCGTAAATAATGTGGTTATAATTGACAACTGTTACATGCGTAGAGCTATAATGTACAGTATCTGTGTGGCTGAGAACAAAATACATGCACATTGTGAATGTACACAGATAAATAACACAACAATTGGCCCTCTGAAAGACGAGATACAATAGCACGTAGCAAAGTTACATAAGATGACAATCCTGGCCAGGTGTAATGTAAACGTGGCTAGGTTAAACGAGACATTAGTTACTAAAAAATACAAACCGAAACCAAGTTACGTAAAATGGCAAGGTCTGTGAGGTTGTAATATAATATGGTGGTGACTTAATTGACACAGTTGGGGGCCAAATCTACAAGGGGCTAAAATATATCCAAAAGAAAAATCCTCCACGAGGCGTGATGAAAAAGTGACCAGGAAAAACAAGACAATCAGGGGAAAACATATCCCAATCCTTCCTTAATCTTTGCGACAGGATTGAGGAGCAACCTCAATTAGAATAATAGACAATTTATTGGGTCAGCCTAAAGCATTCGACCGCCCTTAACGCAGCATCTTGAAACAGGCACAATGCAATTCTAAGCACTCGTGGCTTTGGGGGGGTAGGGAGGTCACTTTATTAAACTGGGAAATTGATGGTTCCATTGCTCGGAATGAACATTCGACTGGGTCGCAAAAAAAACACAAGCGAAACTCATATTCATCTTCTTTGGTTCTCGAAACTCATATTCTTGGGTCTTTCGGTAAAGTGACGTACATACTGTAGGTGCAAAGCAAATCACAAAAAATAACAAAAAACTATGACGTTCGCGATCGAAACGTCGTAGTCTTTTGTTATTTTTTTTGTTATTTTCTTTGAACCTATCTACGTGACTTTACCGAAAAAACCCAAAGAATACGAATTCCTGCAGTCACGAAAGCTTTAAGACGAGCGAAACTTGTGTGCACGCACAAAGTTTGCGGGGCGGTGTGATCGCGCGCTCATTGAAAGCATGTTCTCGTAACTCGTTCGTGTGATTGATATCACATACACATCACACGGGGCGCCACGGTTGCGAGATGTTAACTAGCTCGCTTGGTATACAGGAAGGAGGTCATGGATTCGATCACGACCCTGACGCCTGCATATTTGGAGTTTGCGTGCCTCTCTCCCCGTGGTCGCGTTGGTTTGCCTCCGGGCCCTCCGGGATTCCCTCTCCATTGAAAATCAACGCGCTTTTAGGAGTATTTGGCTGCTATAAAATGTCCACGCGATAAGCCACTTCGTTGAGCTATCATATGCGGTTAGGTCGCTTCTGAAAAAGAGTTCTATTGTCCAGTGGGCCTTACCTGGTAAAATAAAAGAATATTTACAAAATATAGTAGTTTATATGTGAAGTATGCTCTCCATACACTCCCCACATCTCGATCCAACGGTGGGTTTTATAGAAGAAAGAGGGGTTGGTCTAAACCGTAGTACACATGTAAGTGTATGTTGTATACACGGAGCCTGAACAAATGGCCACTGTTTATAAAGTGGAGGAGGGGTGATTTCTTGGTCTCATTTGTACGTATTCCTAAAATTGCTTGAGATGTATGAGTGTGTGTGTGTCGGTAGTGAGGAGCGGTGCTGGAGCGGTGGTGTAGTGGTTAGCGCGCTGCGCTACAAGCCCGGCGACCTGAGCTCGATTCCCACTCACAGCCACCAACACTAATCAGGATTATCTGAACCGGGTCCTGAGCCTCCCCTAGTTCGATAGGTGCTGGCTAACAGCACTTGCTCCTACAGTATGTCAAGACTATACGGGGGATCTTTGTATTGGTAGTGCAATTTGCTTATATGATCCGTGCGACTTGGGGTTCAATTCCTGATTGGGCACGAGACCTAACTGGTGGCAATTGGTATCAGGCCTTGTCCTCGTTCTTCCATGGATCAGCTCAGCCCTAAATGTGCAAGTGGTAGCTAGAAAAAAACAGCTGATCCTGTGTGGTATTGGCCGCACCGCCACCTCATGTGCTGTCATCATAATCGTTATCAGCCACTGCTGGATGAAGGCCCCCATGCGCCAATAACCGCCCTTCACGGTCTATCGCTGTCAAAACCGCATCTCACTCGAGCGCGCGAACTGGTCTCATCACTGTCATCTTCCCTGCTGTGGTCATCCCCACGGACCCCTTCACTCATTTGGCTGCCATTCCGTCAGCAGCCTCGTCCATCGGCCATCACGTCCTGCCAAGGCCCATTTACTTACATTAACGCGCGCCGGCATAACTTGGAGGGGTGGTTTCTGGGTCTTGTGGTGCATTCCGGATACAGTAACTCGATGTGGAGTCGGGGGCACCTTTGCCTTTACATTTTGTACGGAATGGGCTGGGGGCGACAGGGGGGGGGGGGGTCGGAATTGGTTGGCGGAACAAAAAAAACCACGGGGCCACGGACGAACGCTCTTATGTGGAATTAAAATCCCAAAGGGACGCGCGGATGTGTGCAGACATTTCCTCCTCAGGGCCCTCGGTGAGGCAATGCGGGTGACGCCCTCCGCCAGTGTTAATGTCCGCGACTCCTTTTGTGGGTGTCTGTCTGGGACCCATCACTCGCCTCTGTGTGCTCGTGGCCAGAGCAGCGCCGGCGATGGACAGTAACGTATTGAGAGCCATTGTTTTTTTTATTGTGCCAAACTCTCCCCAGTGACTGTCAGAAAATGCCCCCCCCCCCATCCTCCTCCTCTTCCAACTGCCCTCCGCTCGTTGTCACCGAGTTCTGGATTTACGTGTTCATAAAATGCGTGGCTTTTTCTGTTGTCGTTCTCACGTCTGTGAAAAAGAGCTTTGTAGCTCATCGGATTCCTCCCAGTATATATACATATTCCGATTCTGACATGTTGGGAAGTCACTGAAGCAAATTATAGATATAAAAAACCGAATTCATTTCGAACTGCTTTTTGTCTTTAGTTGTCACCCCCTGCACCTCCAATTAGCAACGGTTGGCTACGTACGGTGCGAACGAAGTTCAACATACATACGTATGAACATTTGAGAAAAAAGCTTGCTGTCCATTAAGTTTATTCTTATTTTCTTCGGTTGTATTTGTGCCAACGGTACCTTTTGATGGGTTGCCGTCCGTTTCAATAAACTTTGCTCGCGCTTTGTTGAAATTTCCCGCAGCTTGCCGAGTATATATTTATCATTAGTATCATCTCATCATTATCGTACGAGTTGTTTCCGGTTGTTGCCAGTTGCGTTTGGATAGAGCGCAGCCAATAAACCTTGCGAGTTAATGTTTCTCTCGGACATAAAATTAAAAAAGACACATTTCTACGACTTTTATTCCGGAGTGGCAGCTATCTAAAATGTTTTTGAGATTGAGATACTGTAAGTTGAAAGCAATGTTTCTGCGTTAGGCTTGTTTTGAAGCTACATTCTTGTGTACTCATCAGTCATATGCAGGAGTATACAAAGTGCAGTGATGGTTGGGAGTGATAATACTGTACTGAACAATATGACTGTGAGTTGGGGAAACATACACGAACTCAAGTCGCACACTAGAAGTGCGTTTTGTAATTAGATACGTATCCTGGGTCACCTTCAAGATTGCCCTCATCGTCATAAAGGTCCTCCAAGAACTTGCCCCAGCCTACCTTTCCCCTCTCAACTCGCTCTACTCCCCTGCCATCCACTCTTCTCTTTCTCTCCTATCTCTCCCCGTGCTCATTGGAAAAAAACGATAAACTATTTTGTTTATTTGACCAAGCAAGGCCCACTGAGCTATATAGCTCGTTTTCAGAAGCGACCTTGCCACAAATAAAAGCTCAACGAAGTGGCTTATTACGTGGAAATGTACAGCAGCCAAATACCCGAAACGCATGATTCTAAATGTGGATGGAAAATCCGGATCACCCGGAGAAAAATCCACGCGGCCACGGGGAGAACATGGAAACTGCAAATATACAGGCGTTAGAGTCGGGGTCGAACCCACGCCCTCCTGTATACCAGGCGAGGTAGTTAACATCTCGCCACCGTGGTGGCCACTGCAAGTCTAGGCGCAAGGCCAAATCCTTCCCTTTCCTCCTCTGACTGCCTACGTTTAGCTCTCTATTAACTATATAATTGCACGTCCCTTCCCCAGTGGGATATTCACATCCCACTGTTTTGTAAAGCTTCTTTAGATATGGTTGCAAATCGTGATTGTGGAATTGTAATTTGTATTCACAGTGTGTGATGTACGTATGTTGCGTGAGAGTGAGCAAGGATGTGTTGGATAAGTGATATTTTAAGCACGAACACACGGTGCTTAATGAGCTTGAAACATTTC